GGGGGAAAACTAAAACTGGTCGCAATTTTCGAATAAAAATGAGTCGAAAATTTGGAGGTAAATAAAACACCGAAACCCGGCAAATAAATAGGCGGTCGAATTTTTAGAGGGGTCGAAGTTTAGGAGTTTTCACGGTACTAATTATTCCATTTCAATGAAACTTAGTACAAAGATGCTCTAGGACAATGTACAAACCTAATTAGTTTGGGGTAAAAATCTGTTCATATTAATTCCCTAATAAGCATAATAATTCATAATTTTTTGGTTCTAATCACATTTCAATTAAACTTGGAGACATAGATTTTCTGTTACATTGCGCAGACCTCATTAGTTTTACACTCAAATCTGGTCATATCAATTTTCTGATTTGCATAATTAGTTTTCAGCTAAGTAATTTCGAATTATATTTAATGTGTTTCCAATACTCTCAGCACATGGGAGTTCTTTCTAAGCTTTCTTTGATTTACCAATGTATTCAGAAATGGATAGACGTACTGACAGCACCAGAGGCTTGCCGCCAGTTTTGTCCTCTAAAGTTTTGAGGCGGTCTTGTAGTGATTATACTCAGGAGTTACCAGATTGGAACCCGCATTCGGAGTGTTATTTTATGTCTCAATTGCGTGCAGAGTTCGAGTTTTTGCTCTGAAAGCGTATGTAATCTCTGGAGTTTTGGGGCCTGGTATACTTTCCAGCACAATGTAAAAATAGCTGAGACTGACTGCGTCGCTCATTTACGCAGCAAAGGTTGCGCGTCTAGTAAAATCGGTCAGAGTGAGTTGTTTGTTGGCATGAGTGGGAAGTCCTCATGCTCGGCTACCGGTACTTCATGTACCGAGACGTCAAATAAGAGGCCCGAGGGTGGAGGTTCAGATATTTTCCGGTCTCCCCTCGCTGACCGGAGGGCCATCACCACAGTCTGTTGCTTCAGGGGGTGTTTTACCCGATTTTACCGGCAACGACGAGGCTGTGCCCTTGGAGGTCATTCCTCCTGTGGGTCCCGTTGCGGGACCCTTTGTGGATTCATCCTCGCACGGTGCCAGGTTTGCCTCTGTAATGAGGGCTTTGGTCAAAGGACTGTCGGGGCAGATTGCGTCCCTGGCAGGCCGGGTAGATCGGATGCAGTTAGAGCGAACTGTGGCCTCTCAGTCGGCAAGTAGAAAGAAACACAAAAACCATCGCTTGCATTCTAAACACGTCTCTTCCAGGGGACCCCCCGGATTTGGGGGAGGCTCAGGCTAGTTGCACAGTGTCTCCTCTGGGACCTCGGGCACTGAACACCAACGGGGATGCTGGCATCCAAGCCTCAGATTTCGGGGCAGGGCTTTCAGGGCAGGGCACACATTGCACCTCCGCCCTACCTTCAGCCAGCCAAGGTTCGTCATGCGGTGCCGGACTCGGTAATTTAACCTTAAGTCTGGGCTCCGCTGGGGGTTTTGACTTCCTTCTCGCAGAGGGGACCAACCCTGTCATGAGACACACTCTCGAACGTACGCTCTCGCTCACATACTTAAGTTGAAAGGAGTCAGTTCGTCCACATCGGATACAGTGGGTACCTCGGGCGATCCCTCAGAGTCTTCCATCCGTAATGACTCGGTGAGCCATGCCGTTGGGGTGATGCAGAATACTATCAATCCTGGTGACACGATGTATATTCCCCCACGCTCGATCCTAAAGCAATCACTTACTGTTGCCTCAACGCTTATGGGATCACAGGCGCCAGGATCTAAATCAACCCTGTCGGCACGTCTCCCCTGGTCCAGCCGAGAGCTGAGTATGGTGGATGACACACAGACGGTGTTGATGGGTGGTCGTTGGTCAGCCACGGAGGGGTAATCTTATGCAAAACTCCTTTCGCTGGACCAAAAGCTATCTGGCTGGTGCGATTTTGGAATCAGACCCCAACTCGTGGGATGAGACCAAACACCCCCAACCAGACCCCGAGGCTCCTTCCCCAGACCCCGGTACCACGAATTTCTGTTTGACTTTGCTGGGGAGATGGCGGATGCAGTCTCAGAGCTTCAGGGTGAAATGAGCCAGATGGTTAAGGTTGAATTCGCGAGTCAGTTGGCCGCTGCCAAGGGTAAACAGAGGGCACCCCAAGCACAGAAAACACAATCCCCTATGACGACGTCCACTAGCCAGAGTCAGCCTGGAGGCAAGCACTCATACCCTTCCGCGGGAGGGAAGAGTAGCGGCGCGCCCCTGGGGAAGAAGGGACCAGGTGGTGGCTCCTCATCCTCCTCAGGCGGTCGTCCACCCCGGCAGCAGGGGAAGCATGTTTGCCGCTTACCTCTTAGGCAGGGGTGGTGGGGGGCATATGTTCGGCGAGGGGCCAGGTTACCCGTGGAAGCTCACCTCATGGGAGGAGAGAACACCCACACCTTGCAACCGCCGAACCCATGGTCACATATCCCTGTCGCACACAGATTGTGCCAGTGCATTCCAGTTTGGATGCTCCAGGTGGTGACACTCGCTACAGAATACCACTGACATCTTCACCTACCCTGTCAGTATCTCGCGTGCTCCCCTTTGGGTTATGCACAGCTCCCTACGTGTTCACCAGAGTGATGAAACAGGTATTGCTGCTGCTTCACCAAATGTCGGTAAACATCAATCCGTACCTAGACAACTGGTTACTACACAACCCAGACAAGGGGTTATTAGCCAAACAAGTAAAGCTAATGCAAGATTTACTTCACCAGTTGAGCTCTTTAGTAAATCGACAAGTCCCATCCCAACCCAACCCAACGCAACGCAACAGTTGGTGTTTCTGGGCATGGAGTTTGACACAGAAGTAGGCCTGGTTCGCCCATCTCAGGCACATTGCATGGTGCTAAGCAGCCTAGCCGAATGACTAGTCAGCGTTCCCTCAGTGTCCCTTCGAGAACTAATGCGATTCATCGGAATGATGACCTCAGTTCGAAGAGTAGTTCCCCATGCCGCATTACGCAGCTGCCCGGTACAGCAAAGCTCACCTACAGGAACTAGACAGTCGGGTATTGATCTCGGACCAAGCTTGGGAAGCTCTGCCCTAGTGGTCGTCACTGACCAACCTCGGACAGGGGTCCCTTTGGAACCACTTTTTGCAGCTATGATTCTGGTAACAGACGCCTCCTTCCAAGGGTGAGGAGCGCATCTATTGGACAAACAAGCCCAAGGAATATGGCCCCCGGATTGGGTTCGGGACCGCCATATCAATTGGCCCAAGCTGAAAGCAGTGCACTTAGCACTACTACCCTATCTACACATAGTTCGAGACCACAGAGTCCTGCTCCGCACAGACAACATAGCGCTGGTCTCCTACATCAACAAGGAGGGGGGGCACGTTCCCCATCGTTGTCAGTCCTAGCAGAGGCAAATTCTATTTTGGTGCCTTGAATACAATGTGAAGCTTACCGCACACCACCTTCTAGTGGTGAGGAACCGTCTGGCAGGTGCCCTTTCGAGGCAGCTTTGTCTCCAGAACACAGATACCCCAGTGGGTAGCCTCCAGGCTGTTTTGGCTGTGGGATGGTCCTGGGCCATGAACGCATTGTAGATCCCATGGTCCCACATGGATGTGTACGCCTTTCCTCCCTTCGCTAATTCACCGGGCACTGGAGAAACTTTGACAGGAGCCCACCTGCATATTGACTCTGGTGGCGCTCAATCGGCCAACCAAAGCCTGGTTTCCACTTCTGTTGGAAATGCTAGTTGAAACACAAGTAGTGCTTCCGGACCTACCGGACCTGCTGTCCCAACCAGACGGTGCACTACCAACGAGCCCAGTGGTGTACCACTTAAACGCATGGAGGCTCTCAGTAAACTCACACAGACGAAAGGTTTATCTGAGTGCCAACGTCCTGGCCAGGGCAAACAGGGATTTCACCAACGCTGCCTACAACTCGAAGTGGCGAGCATACACTAATTGGTGTAGTGGAAGGGAGATTGATCCATGACATTCCTTTATTGGTCAGAACTAGGTGGGCTCTCTTTTTCGGACGGTTGTGCCGACTTTATGGACGATCAAGTTGTGCTAAAAACATGAATCAGGTTTCTCGCCAAGAACCAAATCCCAGGACACCAGCCAATCGTCATCCCCCAGCTGTCAAATATTGTCGGCCCAGAGGATCAGGAGGAATTGCTTCTCTGCCCGAGTCGAGCAATGAGTTGCTACGAGAACCGTACTAGGATTTCGAAACGGGGAGCCAAATACATGTTTTTGTGTTACCACCCTGGCAGGCAAGATATGCCGGCCTCCCCAACTTTCATTGCCAGGTGCATTACTGCGAGTGTATAAAAGGTCTATAATACTTTAACGTTCTTGACATAGAACTTGCAGAGACACCAAGTATGAGCGCATGAGGTCCGTGTGATTGCTAACTCACTAGCACTAGCGTCAGGTGCCCCCCTCGAGCATATACTGAGGGCAGGCTTCTGGAGAATGCAGAACGTTGTTATCAACTACTACCTTAGAGAAACACAATCTATTGAAGAGGGTCTCTTTAGGTTGGGTCCCGATGTATCGGGTCAGACTTTTTGTGCTTACCCAGCCCGAACGATCACAAGGGTATCTGCGCATAGCTGATAAGTCAGTCTCAGCATTTTTGCAGACGGATTTCTCTACCATCAGCACCCCTGGAAGCTTCCAGGTCTTGCTTTTCGACCTATGCCCTCATGCAGAACTGTTTCGGTCTTTACTTCACACCGAACTCTGTCCCAGGAGCAAGAAGCCAAAAATGCTGCACAGGCAAGGTAAGACGCCACCCTCTTTGGGTCTTAACTAGGGGATGAGTGATTGTTGTAGAGTGTATATTCCCGGATGGGGAAAAAAAACTTTCATCATTTTCTGTTTGCTTGAAAAACCTGCCACCTATTGGCTTCTGACTCTGCCTACAGTCATTTTGACGGACTGGAATCTATGGTGGGTAATTGAATGTAGTGAATTTAGGCAGAGGGTTCTTGGAACCTGCCTATTCACATAGTTCATACCCACTATAGACTCTGGGCCCCCCCCCCCAACCACCCCACTATTGCCCGTAGCGTTGGTCTAAGTTCTAGATGCAGAGAGAAAGGAACCAGTGTGAATAGCCAACCGTAATGGCGCCGCCATATGGACTCGGTCACATGGTTTGTGACGTAAGGGAAAAGAATCTTGGGGTTATAGGGCTTCCCCTGACCTAGATTTTATCTCTCCGTCATTGGCAGAATCGCTGATTAATGCCTAGTTCAAAATAGTCATTTTGACTAACCAGAGTCTATGGTACGTGGGTATGAACTATGTGCCTAATTTCAAAATTGTATCACAAAATTGTACATCAATGGTCAACAAAATCCTACTGTCTCCGCAATGATAGTGGATAGTGGTTTGATTTGTACAGGCCATGTAGCCGTTAATGATATGCTAAATATATGCAAGTGCAAAAACTAGAATCCATTTCGGAAAGGTTTTTAGCTTCAGGTTCAACTTCACAATGGTCCAACCTAGACTGTCATAAGTTTGTAGTAGCTCCCTTCAACTATTAAGGGTACCTACTACTAAGGTTGCAGGCCTTCCAACTAGGCACATGGCTGTGATAAGTTGGAAAGTAAGTTAAGTTGAGATGGCCGACCAACGATGTAGGGCCTGTAATAAGTTTGAAATTAAATACATCTATAATTAGCATATATTTGCATAATTGCAGTGTACTCCATAAGCCTGGTTTGAGAATGAGTGCTGTCTATGATCTGTTGTAAGCAGCATATTTTGTTACACTAGTATTGTACCATATTATACATGCCTAAATATGTTAGATTTAACAGCAGCACTATTTATTTTTGTGTTTGACATTCTAGGAGAGAGGCCACAATAGACACAGTGATGAGGTGGGATTACCTGTCCAGAAACTGACTAGGAACGGATGTGGCAATCCTGGAATAGCACAGAACCCCAGTGGGAATAGGAAACCACTTAACAACAAAATCAATGAATTGGACAAGAGAATCACCACATGTTCCAAACTAATTCAACAAATTCAGTGGCATACTCGCACTGTGCAGGCCATGGAGAGAGAACAGAAACGAGACCGAGATCTTGTGGAGTCCTTAGAGAGGAAAATTAATTCTCAAGACCATATCATCGCACTGCAAGATGTCGCCTTAGCTGAGCAAGATCTAAAAATTCAGTCTCTGGAGATGGCATCTTACGATGGTGTACTGGTTTGGAAAATTTCTGACTTCCGTCGTAAAAGAAATGATGCCTTATCAGGTCGTACTACCTCCATCTACTCACCATGCTTCTTCACCAGTCATCATGGTTACAAGATGTGTGCCCGAGTATATCTGAATGGAGATGGAATGGGCAAGGGCAACCATGTCTCGCTGTTCTTTGTCATCATGAGGGGCACATTTGATGGGTTGCTGAGATGGCCATTCAGACAAAAGGTAATATTCTTTGAACATAATTGATCTAGGTGGTAGAGATTTAGTTTGTTTCTATTGCTTTTGTTTGGCAGTCATATATCTTTTCAAACCAGTTCATTCTCATTATTAGTCCCCGTTCGGACGTAGTCCGAAAACGGGGACTTGTGTTTTGCACTGTGTGCGTCCGTCCGTCCGTGATCACCTGTATCTCGAACATGCATGGACCGATTAAGTTCAAACTTCACTCATACATCACACATTATATGGGACATATGCACATGCATTTTTTTCATGATCCGATTAACAATAGCCGAATAGCGGCCATTTTAAGGCCGAAAATGCATCAAACTTTCACCATTCCGGACCCGGATCTCAGTTATGCATGGACGGATTTTGTTCACATTTGGTACATACATTAAACATAATAGGACCTTGATGCACGTCTTTTTTTGTTTCGGATCAAGTTCGAAATGGCCGACTGGCGGCCATTTTGTTTTAAAGAATTCAGTTCTGGATCCGTGTCCGAGACATGTCTGGATTGATCAAGTTCAAACTTCACACACACAAGGTACATCATGTCACAAATATGTATGTGCATTTGTTTCATGATCTCATTAACGATAGCCAAATGGGGGCCGCTTTAAGGCCGAAAATGCATTGAAATCGCACATTTTCACTATTCCGGACCCGGATCTCAGTTATGCATGGATGGATTT